TACCAAGAAAACCTTAAAGATGGGACACTCTCTAATTGTTCACTTTAGAAGGAAAATGAAAAATCTGACAGAGAAATGCTCTGGAGTCAGAGAGGCCTGAGGCTAACTCTTGAATCCTCCACTTACTGGCTGTTTTAAGTCCGTTACTTAATTTCTCACAGCTATGGAGCTACTGCCTCAAAATGGAAATAAAATCATCAACTTATGGGTGGCATTGAATACAAGCTGATTTTTTTTTTCCAGCATTGCTCTAATAAAGGGGCTCTGAACACAAACAGCTATCAAGAAATGAATAAAAAATGAGATGTGAACACCAACTCCAATCATATTAGTGCAAAGTCATGTGTCAGCAAACAGGAAGGGGATTGGTACTCGTTTCTGCAGAGCCCATGAAAGGGTGTCAGCCAACTGCGGTTAGATACTCACGGAAGAAGCATACTTACAGGAGTACCACCAACTAACTCAGAAAAGTTCTCATGTGAACGCAAAAACTACACAATAGCTCAACACTACACATTAGTTTGGCAGTAATAAAACTTCCTCAACTAGCCATTATGAAACTAAATTTTTAAAAAATTCTAAAAATTTTTTAGAAATTCTGGAATTCTAAAAACTGCTTTATTGAAATGATACTTTCTGGGGCTTTACATGCAGTGGCACAGCATGCTAATCCTTTATCCTGTGCACCAGCATCCCATCTGGGTGCCAGCTCGTTTCCTGGCTGCTCCATTTCCCATCCAGCGCTCCACTTATGGCCTGGGAAAGAAGTGAAGGAATGTACAAGTCCTTAAGACCCTACATACTTGTAGGAGAACTGGAAGAAACGCCTGGCTCCCAACTTCAGATCAGCTTGGCTCTGGCCATTGCAGCCATTTGTGAAGTGAGTCAGTGGGTGGAAGACCTTCTCTCTGAGCAGGTACAGCATGATAGATGCGGAGCATACATGAGTACTAACCTCCACTCTTCTCTGGCTATAAAATAAATTCTAAATCAAATCCAAGATACTAAGCTTCACCCTAGCACCAAAAGCTTAGGCTCCTCTTAAAGACTACAGTTGCTTCTTCCAGTAGTAAAACTAAGTGCTCAGGTGAGTGTTTTTAATTAAGGATCCCTTCATCAGATGCAACACCTTGAGTTATACTTACCAATAAGTTTTTAATGAATTACTACTGTGAGTCACCATAAAACAGATTATATGAAAAATATCTTTATAAACAGCATCACATTTATTTTCAAGATACTATTCTTGAAGAATATTAATTATCACTATAAAAAGCTTGTTAATCTCCACAATAAACGTATTTTAAGTTTTAATTTATAAGCATTTTACAGGTTTTTATATAACTTTATTGTCATTACTGTTTTAATCAATCTAGTCATCTTTGTTTGAAAAAATTGAGCTCCAATTGTTACTTTTACTCCTGGGATTTTATAAAATTAACCAGTTTTCATATGTTCCTAGGTGATGGGACTTTTCCAATTGACTTTTATTGATGGGTAGGAAAATTGAACATTTAATATTTACAAAAATCTTTTCCAAGTACAAAAGGTCTTCAAGAAGTTCACAGAAAATCTATGTTATGAAAAAAAATGTATCCATGAATTTAAAAAATGTTTGAACCCAAAGAAGTATTTCCTTTAGTACCATTTCCTCATGAATTTTCTGACACACATATGTGGTAGTCACCAATCAGAACACACATAGCTTTGGCACTCTTAGGTAGAAAGAAATCATTTTGTTTTGTCTCAACTAGATGAATAAATTTCTCTTTTTATCCCCACTAATAGCAAAATAACAACAGCAATGAAAACTGGATAGTCATTCCAAAAGAAATGCAAATAATAGCTACTTCCAAAAAAATCATTACATACCTATATGTGATAATACATGATAATTCTCATAAATATTTAGCTAGGAAAAATACGGCAAAGTAAAAATGTATTAGTGAGTTGAGAGAGCTGTATTCAAGCTCATATTGAATTTTGAAACCCAATTCTGTATGAGACACTTGGTGAGGTATGGTGGCTGGGGGGAAAGACTCTCCTTTTATCTTTTCTGGTTTATCAGTTGAGTCTGTTAATGAATTGATAGGAGGGAAGGTATACAAGCTCATTATGTGCATGGAAGCACCACAGAAGGAAAAATGGGATCTAGAAGTTTATATCCACTCTTTGTGGATATAAAGGAGGATGAGGATTGCAGGCAATTTAGGGGAGAGAAATGTCTGGGCCCTCAGAAGAAAAGGTGATAAATTATGACAAAATCTGGGTGCTGAACCCCAGGCTCCCATCCTGTAGATACGGGGTTCATCTTCCCTGGCTAAGCATGCAATTCATAGGGAGGGATTCTGTTTTCAGACAGACATAGGCAGTTTAAAGAAAACCCTTCCCTGCATTGGTTGTTGTCCACCTGCCCTGTTTGAAGCAGTCAGCGTACAGATGTGGCACATCTGGGGGTAGCAGTTCCTGAATTATTTCTGGTTCAACAGGTAATACGAAATACTGAAGAGAAAATTTGTTCTCAAGGAGCTTGTAAGAAATTAGAATAAATCAGGTAAACATACTGTCTGACCAGTATGGACAGAATGTTCTTAGAAAAACACAAACCCAATACAGTATTCAGACTTTGTAAGAAGGTAAATGGTTATTTCTGAAGCACGGAAGTTTAGAGGCCTTCTAGTTTTTGTACTTTCTAATGATTGGAGATTTTTATAATCATGTTACTATTTTTGCAGTCAAGAGGACAAGCCAAATTTACAACATATGCCTATGAATAAACACTGTAGCAGAGAAAATGAATATTAAGTATATGTTGACTTAGGATACTGGCTGCCTACAAATAGATTTTCTCTTTTAAAGTTATTATGTTATTCTAATGAAATTTTAACAACAGATTCAAGAATTCTAAAAGTAAATGAAAATTTTAATTTTTGAAAATTTAAATCTGAAAATTTAAATGCTGTAGTCTGTATTAAAAGCAGAGGCCTTGTTGCTTTTTTTTTTCTTTGCTAAAGATTTGGGCTGTATTTGCAATATTCTATTTCTATTGGCAATATTCTTTTTTAAGCTTTTATATGATGTGCAGTCTAGATTGGAAAAGGTAAAATACATCTTTATTGGTCTGCTTGTAATAATCTATTTCATTACCATCTATTATTAGGGTAACACTCCTAATCATTTATCATAATATTAGTACACTGTCCTCAAAAAAATCAAAATAATTCTTGGCCATATTTCAGAAAAACACCAACAGTCTTGATCTTCATGCTTTAAAAAGCCCCCAGACAGACTAAATCACAACAGGTCCCTTCTTCACTTCAACAGGTCCTAGTTATATCAATGACCATATTTCAAAAGATGCATATTGTTTTTATTTTATTTTCATCTTATTTGCAAGATAAAGAGACAGAATTTCCTGCTAGCTCACTCTCCCAATGCCTCCAAACAGCCAACCTGCACCAGGCAGGAGCCTCAATTCTCACCAGATTTCCCACATGGGCAGTAGGGCCCAGGTATTTGAATCATTCTCTTCTGCCATGGGGTGTGCATTAGCAGGAAACCCAAACAGACCCAGGGCAGGTGGGACTCAAACCAGACAGTCCAATATGGAATGCAGATATCCCAAGAGAACACTTAATGGCTGCCCAAACAGCTGCCCCTGTAATGCTGTTTGTAGTGTCACTGCAGGCTGAATCATTCTTTCCAGAAATGGCACAGATTGTGATCTCTCTGCAGCTTTTTACATTTAATACAACTCGACAGTCACTTTAACTGCAAAAAAAAAAAAAAAAATTCTGATGCAGCATGAGAAATTTCCTGTTAATAAAGGACTTGTGTATTTCTGGTCATGAACAAAGGGTGTCTGGTACTTGCTAACTCCATTTTTAAAAATGTATTATTTTGTAAAGTTAATTGTAGATTTCCAAGTATCCTTTAAGTACTATTAAATCCATTTACTAATTCTGCAAGATAATGGGAAGAAGGCAGGGGCAAGGAGAGCTCTGAGTCAGTCCCACTCGACAAGCCAAACAATGCAGAATTGAACCAGTGAAGAACATCCTTATCTGTCATTCTAGTTTTAATTGAGGTCTGATGCAAAATTTCATTTTCACGGTAGTTGTATTTAGATTTGAGACTTCATTTATATTCTTTCTGATAATAATATCTAAATACTTCCATTTCCTAAAGTTAGATCTACCATTTGCCTGAATGAGGACATTTATAAAGTTAGGAACTGAATGAGGACATTTTTAAAGCGAGGTCTAAAATGTGGAACTGGACATAAATGATGATACATTCATACACATGCCTATTTGGTGATTCTAATGCAGTTGGATACAGACATATGTTCCAAGAAGTGAAGGATCAGGGACACACAGTGGCCTCTCTGTAAAGCTGCTGTGACTCTGAATTGCAAAAGTAACAGAGTACAAACAAAAAGTAACAGAGTAGATCAGGGATATGTGGGGTGGCACAAAATCTGACTCCAGTGGGCTCAGGTAGATTTAAAATATCTCTGTGAAAGCAATGGCCTGGTAACGTGACTGCTATACTTTGAAGAGATCTTACTCACTCTTCCTCCCTTCCTCCCTCTCTCCTTCCTTCCTTCCTTCCTTTCTTCTTTTTCAAAGTATCATAGCTTATTCTTAGCTACAACTACAATCTTCAGTTTAAATTCTATTTTGATGAAGTTCTTAGAAATGACTGAGAAGTAAAACACCATCAGCTTAAAGGTTAGATAAGAACAAATTCTGGTTCTGCAGAGGACCAAACTTCTAAGTCATTACTTTGACAAGTTAATATCACCTTGAAATCACAAAATCAAGTGAGATTTAGGGTGGGAAGTCATAAAGCTCAGACCCAAAAGCCATGCTAGTGGGAAGCTGCCAGTGGCAAAGGGAGTTAGCCTCTAGTCAGTTCATTACAATTTCAGCTGCATCTTTATGGAGTGAAGGCAAAGCTCAACAAAGAATCCATAAAATGAAATGATGCAGACCAACCTTTTATTGCACCCACAATATTTTGGTCTAGTCCTTTCCGGTTGTCATTGAGTCCTCTTTTCCTCTTCCCATTGGGTAAGGAGTTAGCCAAAGTCTTGTCATCAAAAAATGCACACACCAGTTTTCTAAACAGAAGGCTTCCTGAGCGAGTGTAGTTTGACAATATAGAGTCCAGCTGAGATTTAGGCATAAACACATCAAAGCCTTCAGCAAGTTGCACTTCTGGCTACCAAAAGAACATAAATATTTCATTAAAAGCAAGATTTGAAGCATTTGACTCTGGGCATATGTGCAACAACAACAACAAAACACACATCATTAGCTGCTGAATTGTCCATATCCTGTAAATGCTACAGTCTTAGCTTTGTGTGTCAGTATTCACAATGAATAATAGGCAATGAGCAGTCGTAATTCACAAAACAAGATACTATAATTCCAATATTTAAATAGGAGTACACAGAAAATGCATTCCTGTTCTTAGAAATAGCAAAGAGAGGACTGGATAATCACAAAATCATATAAATTTGGAACTAAAAAAGGTCTTGAAACTTCTGGCTGAAACACTTTCATTTTGTAAACAAAGCAACCAAAGCCTAAAGACACCAAAAGGGTGACTGAGGCTTAATTCAGATGTGTTGGTTGAGTGCACAGCAGTTACAGATCACCTTCTCATACGGTAAATCATTTCATTTATTTTGCCTAAGGACATAGGATGTGCCTACTTCCCACAAATACCCCATCCTTTCTATTCGGCCAATTTTCAGCTGTGGGACCATTCCCCACCCCACCCCACCCATGAAAACTTATGCAAACTAATACTTAAACAAAAATGATGGGCATGTTCCTCAGGCAGTTGAAATCTAACCTGACTCCTGGGAGGACAATTTGAACCTATGTCCCTGAGCACCTTCAGGAAACCCATGCACTATCCATTACACTTCCCACTCAGGGACTTCCTGATATGGATGTAGGAGTGAGACACCTACCTGGTGCTCAACTTGGGGCCCTTATACAATGATTCAGGTACAGCTACTAACTACGCATCCTCCATTAGCACCGAAAGATGAGTTTACAGTTGGCTTTTCATATTGCATCCTAGCTCCTACTGTTTTATTTCTAATGCCTTTCCTAATTCCATTCTGCACATGAAGGAAGCGCTTCCCTGTTACCACAGCTCATCTGACATACAGGTATGATGGTATCTACCATACTGCATAGGGTCTGGCACATAATAGGTACTCAATAAATTCTTATTGAATAGATTCAGCTTGTTAGACATGAAGTGTTAGGTCATTTATAGCTTATTATAGCATGACAGCTTTATAATGACTATAATATGAAGGAATGCATCTGGTAAACTTTATGAGAAAAAAAGAAGTCAGAACACCTCACATCAACTGCATAAACTATCAAAGCTCTGTTAGATCTCTTGCTACTTTGCAAACTTGACTCCACATTTGATTTTCTAAGGAAGACTCAGGATTAGTTTCTTTACAGGAGACAAAGAATTGCTATTTTGCTTATCTTACTGCCTTTCAAAATGTCCAGCACACTATTGTCAGAGTAAGAGTGCTCAGAGCATGGTTTTATTAGGATGATGGTTAGGAGTGGGCTCAGTACCTCCATTGTTTGAATGACAGGGCCAAGCTAAAGCCAGGAGTTGGCAGGTCTCTCACATGGGTAGCAGGGTCCCTGCCTCTGAAGCCGTCACTGTTGCTGCTGCTAGGGTGGGTATCAGCAGGAAGCCTGGATCCGGAGCAGAACTAGGATTTGAACCCTGATATGGATAAGGGCATTCCAACTGCTCCACCAAATGCCTACCTTCAAAAAATCAAAGGTTTATCTGGATTACCCAAAACGTCATCTTATTTCTCTGCTTTATGTTGTCATTCAGTGTTTGGTTTCTGAATGCTTGGTAAGTATCACTGTAAAAACTGCTGTTAGATTTCCCTCACCCTCTTGCTTCGTGATGGTTAAGTTTGTAGAAGAGGCTGATGGAGCTGAAGGCTGAATACCTCATTCCTAGAACAAGGCTGGCACATACCAGGCATTCAATAAATATCTGTTCAATGATATAACATAGAAATATTAGGAGGGCATATTACTGTCATGATCCTGGGTAAAGTTTTACTAATAAACAGATTTTCTTTTCTACATCTTATGGCGACATTTAGAGCTTTCATTCTAAATAAACTGATCTCAGATGTTCGCTAAGTGCTTCTATATCACTTGAAAGCTGTTTTTCAGAAAGGCCCAGTGGATTCTGCAGAATGTGGAAGTCAAGGGTGATAGAGAGGCTTGTAACTCACAAGAGCACAGGGAAGCACCACAGCATGAGTTCCACTCTCCTAAGCTTTGGCTCAATTCTGATATCAATAAACTGCTTCTCAAAATTCAGGCACCTGGTCTCTGAGACTCCCAGAATTTCCTCTGTGACTCATTTATGAATCATGGCCCCCTCACTTGAGAAACACTGACCCAGATGAGCCACCTGGCAGAACTAGCTATTCTTTTCATCTACTCACAGTGTTGTCTATGAACTCTACACTTATGGCACCTTTCACACTGCATCTACTTAGCTGAGAGTTTGTTTCTCCTTAGAAAGAGCACTCTAATACTTGGAGAGGCAAGTATCCAGACAGTTGGTGTTCAATGGACACTTGTCAGAATAAACCAAATACTATATAAGAATTCACTCAAAATGCCTAGTGCTGAGTCAGCGATCTTTTATCCCTATATAATGGAAATGGTTTTGTACGTCCATCAAGCCATAGCTCAGTACATTGCAACGTCTCCCATAACAACAAGAGCAGACTATCTGAGAACACTGACCCCTTTTGTAGGGAGGAGTTTAAAGGCGGGCCCTACAGATGACATAACACACAAACGTGTTATCATGCAAAAGAGAAAACGATGGACACTCTAACAGAGGCACAGAGCATGTGCAGTCTGTCATGGTGTCGGGATTTGGCTACTAGAGGAATAGGGGAAAGGGGACAGGCATTGTGGAGTAGCAGATAAAGCCACCGCCTGTGATACCAGCATCCCAAATGGATGCCAGTTGGAGTCATGGCTGTTCCACATCCAACCCAGCTCCTTGTTAGCACTCCTGGGAAAGCAGCAGAAGATGGTCCAGGTGCTTGGGCTCTGCACTCCAATGGAGACTCCAGGTTGCACAGCTCTGGCTGCTGTGGTCATTCGGGGGGGTAAATTAGCACACGGACGATCTTTCTCTTTCCCTCTCTCTTGTGTAACTCTACCTTTCAAATAATCAATTTTTTAAAAGGAAAGGGACTCAGAAGAGGGTATAGAGGGCACTTAAAATTATCAAAATTGAGAGGCAAGACATAAAGAGATTTCCAATCCACTGGACCACTCTTCAAATGCCCGCAATGGCTAGGATGAGGCCAGGCTACAGCCAAGAACCAGAACTCTCTCTCATAGATGACAGGAATCCAATATTCCTTGGGTCATTACTTGCTGCCTCCCAGGGTCTGCATTAGCAGGATGCTTGAATCAGGGGCCAGAACCAGGTATCAAACCCAGGTTTTCAAATCTGCCACACTGGCATCTTATGCTAGGCTAAACACTCGCCCTAGGATAGCATTTTTACCAGGGCCTTGAAGTTAAGTATTAGGAGACAATGGTACAGCTGCTGTTTCTAGCATCTGCTGAAACTCCTAAACGAAGTGTATGGAGGTGTTAGTGTGGGGCTGAGACTTCCTCTGGCACCATCAGAGCACTTTGATTTCTAAGGACCCTCCAATGCAGAAGCTGGCACTGTTTTCTGTTCCACTTTCTACAGATAAATGTTATGTTGAGCTGCTCTTTCCAGCGCAAGGACTAAACACTCCCATCACAAAAACAGAAGTGGTGTGATGAGCTGAGGCAGTGCCCAGCAGGTGGCAAGGGCAGCGGTGGCTGAGTGCTGCCTGTTGCCTGCTCCTTCTGGCCTGTCTCCTGTTCACATTTCTTAGCTGCAAGGGATGAGTGCTACAACACATCTACCAAGTGCCAGAAAGCAGCAATGCCTTAGAAAACAAGAGGGCAGAGCTTGGAAAAGATGATGTTAATTAACCTCCAATTTTCAATATGAAATATTTTTATTTCCTCCACTTTACCAGCATAATCATAGTGGATAACTGCCATCTAATGACTACAACTTTGCACACATACTTGTAATACAGGCTAAAATTCCTTCTTTAATTGTTCTTTGAGGTTTTGGTCCTGAGGCTGTCTGAGACTTGATTAGCCAGCCAGACTATCCCTTCTAATCCCCATCTCTGAATCTTTTTTTGCTTACTGGCTCTAGTTCATAAATGGAATCTATTTACTAATATTAGGAAATATGGAAACCAATACTATTCCAAATAAATATCATATTAAAAGGCCAGAATTCCCTTGATGAACTCGCAAAGATAGATGGCTAATAAACTAATGTGTAGATTTTCTTGAATAATGAAGTAATACCGTCTATAAATGATGACATCTAAAGTATGGGGCAGAATCTATAGCACTTAAAGTCATTACTTTGTGCCTTAGAGTCCGAATCCTACCAGAAATTTGGATTTTCTTATGTCTTGCCATTTTAGTACCTCATCCACTGAGCACAACAAGGAATCCATGCCCAATTCTTCTTATCCACTGGTGAAATTTTGAAGGCAAAAATTGCATAAAATTATAATGACTCAGGGTTGAAGCTTGTGGACAAATGTAAAGAAACAAATGTAATTTTAAGTAGATCATATAAATTAACCACAAGGGAGATATGGTCTATTTTAACTAAGTGCAGTTAGGAATAACAAATCATGCGAGGCTAAAAAAAAAATAATAACATGAGGTTATTGGCTATAAGAATAAAAAGAAGGACATGACTATTCATGTTGGGAATTAGTCCCAGGTTTTCCATTATAAATTAACAAATTCTAAATAATACTTAGCAAATCCTATGTTTACAATACTCACATTTAGAGGCACATGCCCAAAGTTGACTGCAGTGGGGAAAGGCCAGACTGCCTGACTAATCAAGTCTCAGAATGGGACCAGACTGAAATCAGAATGAAAAGGGCAGAAGCAGCATCTAGATCCTGCTGAAGACTAACTGACTTGAACTGAAAAATATAACAGCATTTCTAAGAATGTTTAAAGAAGTGAATGTAGTCTTTCTGGCAGTAACGTTACTGTACACAATGATCCTCCTTTATTCTCATCTAGTATTTATTTATC